CTTCGAAGAATCAGGGCCCAGCGTTTGCCACGGGTTCGGAACGAAAAATCCCGAGTCAGACAGCTTCTTTCCCGTATGGAGCGTACCGGTCGAGTTACTGCTGGTATTCGGCACCGAAGGCATTTTCACGATCTGCATGGGATGCCGCGGTGTTTGAGGATAGGCCGCGGGGTGTTGTCCCGGAAAACAGCTGGAGGGTGCCGCTACTCGCCCAGCCAATTGAACCTCGGTATTGCTACCTCTTCGGGTCCAATCGGCAGGCCCTCTCTTCTTCGTACCCTGCTGAGGCTCAGCTGTTTCCGACACCCTTACCGGGTCCGGCAGATCGGTACTGGTGCCAACAGGACCGACATTACGACCGTCAGGCCGAACCATCCCTTCCGGGTCTGGCTTGTCCAGCAACAGGCTAGCTGAACCCCTTGGCGTCCCAAGGGAGCGAGCGTTTAAATTTGTATGGCCATCGGAGGACGACTCCCCTTGAGCGTATCGGCCAAAAATTCGTCACCCATTGCTGAGGCGCTCTAGGAAGGTGGCTGTTCAGTGTTAACCTTTCGGCCAGCCACCCGGCAGCGCTCGAAAACCTGGGGGGTTATCACCTGGGAGTGGGTTAGGTGGGGGGCGAGTGGGGAAGGGCCGGGGGAGACAGGGGTACTCCCCAGGCGCCCCAAAAGGGCGGCCCTCTCCGAAACAAAAACGGCTCTATCACCCCGGAAATTCAACCAATTTAAAAAATTTAAAAAGGTGAAGATTCAGGAGATTCTCCTCTATCTTTCGAGCCTGCCAATTCTCCCCGATTGAACATCGGAAGCTGACAAAAAGCAATTTTACAAAGGTGCATTTTATGCAGCGAAATTAAAATATTTTCAAAAATTAACTACTTGCGCATGATCCCCATCCTTAATTGCATAAATGGTCCAAATTTCAACCCGGAATTCCATCAGGGCTTCGAGTTATGCCCCGGACACCACGACCCTTGGCCCATTTTGTTAAGGAATTTTCAAAAAAATGCTCATAAAAACTTTATTTTAAAGAATTTTGCAAAATCCGAAAAAATGTATCTGGGGAATTACTTTTGCCACCTACCCTCAAAAATTGAGGGCCCCATTCCCTCTAGGGGCCGAGAAAAGTTCCGGACAAAGTGCCCACCCAAAAATGTTAAGGATTTTTCACATTTTTGCTTGTAAAATCGTTAAATCGTAGAATTTCGAAAAATCCAAAAAACCGTTTTTTATAAATGTCATTTCCCACCCCCATGCCAAAAATCAGCTCGAAATTCGGCCTGACGGCCGAGAAAACGGCCGTACAGAAAACACACATACTTTTCTCGCTTATAGGGTAGGATTACTGTGACTTAATTTAAAATTTCGATAGTAAAAATATGATAAGAAATTTCTTTCGATGAGCAACATCAATATATTACCTAATTCGTACAAAATACGCTAGATAACGCAAAAAAATATTTTTCAACACTTAATTTTTATAAATTTTGTGTTTCGAGCTTGTCGTGTTCGCGGAGCTCCTATTAAAAATCATTCTAGCATGTTTACAGCGGCGTTATGAACCCTGATTATTTACTAAATTATTTCAGCATTGTTTAATTGATAAAAATCTAGCCGAAATCTTACCATATCGCACCGGCGCTTAAAATATTTTAGAAAACGCCAAAACAACAGCATCAAACCTCGTAGTTTTTCGGAACTTTTAGGTTGCAAATTTGCCTTGCTTTTAGGGTTTCTGGCCACAATTAATAGGCAGCAGGGCACTGGTTTGCGAGTTTAAAAAATAGTGATTCTAGTTTTAACCAAAAAAATTACCGATGTAATTTTAAAGGTGCTTACCAGATAATTGACCCGTCTCCTTTGATGGCTTTTGGCTTTATAGCTGAAACATATTTGGCCTAATATGTTTTGTGAGCCTCGTAACCTTAGAAACTACTAATTAAATTAATGGAAGATAAAAATATTTGTTTCAAAATTTTTGCGATACCAGTGCACCATGAGAATTTGCGATATCTGCCCTGTTTGATCGATCTGGAAATTCTTTTGCTCTCTCTGGGAATGAGCAGTGTTCTAACAAAGATATTTTAGTTTTATGATGAAACATAATTTTTCGTCAGATTAAGTATTTAGAGAAGATCGGCTGGATTAACGAATTTACTGGCCTTATACCATTATGCTTATTCTTAGAAAAACCTCCAGAGTTTTCAGGACCTGATCACCTACCTCAACACGTACATCAACCTCAAACTCCGCGAGGTGCCCGGGGTGGCCGAGTACTACGTCGGCATCGAGTTCAAGATCCCGCCCTACCGCTTCTTCAATCTGCTCTCATTCTCCTGCAATCACCTTCAGGTAGCTTAAAATGTTACATTAAATAAGGTATAAAGCTGAGAAAATTAGGTAATACTTGGAGCAATGTAACGACCGCAAAAATCATGCCAACTTTCGAAATTTGAGACTCGAGCAGCTATAAAAAAAACAATTAAATAATTATGACGATTAAGATTAATTCTAAAGCGTAATAAGAAATTCAAAGGGCTTTAAATAATTACACGAAATATTCAGGAACTAACTAGTTGTAAAGCGCAAACTATGATACGAAATATTATGCCTCGTTAACAAGGCATTTTAAGGTTAAAATCTATATGTTACAGATTACCAACTATAGTAAGCGAAACATCACAAAGCAGTCGAGAAGGTAGCAAGCAATAATGATACTACCGATTCTGGCTTCAACAGCCTTAAAACTGCTTCAACACGCCTCAAGTAGCAGAGAAAAAAATGTTGCGTAGAATATAGGTAGAAGGCCATAAAAATAAGGTGGTAGTAAAAGGGAATTAATCGGTGGCGAAAAATAGAAAATCTATCATTAAAGGGGTTGCCAAGGAAAATTCGTGTTTACAGGGGTAAACAAAATAAAATCAATTAAGGATTAAGAGGTTAATTTAAGATTGGGGAAAGTTAATAGCTCGCGGTCGCGTCAATAGTCAAATGAAAAGCGTTACAAAAACCTGGCTGTAAAATCGACCCTACGACAATTCCGAGACATTCCTAAAACTAAGCTAGCTTTTAAAATGAAACCAATTTTTCTGCAGCTATTTTCTTCGGAAGAAGTTCCGACTAGTGCTTTGTTATTTTCTACACATTCAAAAACTGGTAAACTTGATCGACTAGCGGTTAACAGGAGGGTTCTTGTTTGTTAGCGGGGGGGGGGGTCGGGCTCCCGCTAGTCTCGCAATCATGCCTATTAGCACAGGGCGACGGGAGTGGGCGTGGCCTTTCCCCCGCCTCCCCGATACCGGATCAGAGCCCAGGTAAGTAATATGTAAAATCTACGGAAATTTTACATATTACTTACCTGCTTTTTACTATTTACATACTCTTCCTTTGAAGAAAATTAAATAATACAAAAGCAACAATCCACAGAATTGGATTCGAGACAATATTTTCAACACTCGATACTTTGTAACATAATATTTAATCACGGCATTATATATACTTTTAGAACACGGGTCTGCTCCTCATCCACCTCAACCGCTTCACCTGCACCATTGTTCCTATCTATCATCATCGGGTAAGCCGGTATTGAGACAGCTATATTGCTTCTTAAAAACTGTTCTAAATTAAGTAAAATTAGGGATTAATGGAGTGTGAAATTACCACACATTACGCATATTAGGCGTTTTTATTGTGATTTTAGTCCGAGGGTGTTTTTTAATGACTTGCCGAATGACCACTAACGCTATTTATTCTGGGTCTAGGCACTCTTTTGATGCAACGCATCTTTTGTCCGCTGCCCAAGAGATGCGTTTTCGCCAAAAAAATTGAAGTGGAACCTAAAATGAAACGTCAAGAAAATCGCTCTGCTGAAGGGACAAGCAAGGCACGGCCATGGATGTCCTTGACCAAGAATTCCCGCAACATTATTTTAATGCATCCCAAGTTTTTTACGCGTTGATTTCGAGCTTTCGATCTTAGCTTTCTAGCTGTTTTAGCTATCAAAGTTGCTATGGAGATTACGGGGCTCGACGAATTGGGTGCGCTGATTGGTATTACGACACGTAATTGCCGGCTCCCAAAAAAGACGATTTGTCACGTCAAAAACAGACCTGGATTGTCCCGATTGATCCACGCCGCAGCCACTATTTTGATGCAACATAATTTTTGCAAGCGGTCGGGTACTTTTAAGGGGCACCGAAGTCCGGTCCACGCCCCCAGTGTGGATTCCTGGCAAATAGCCAAATGCAACCGCAACGCGATCGTGCCCCTTGATCTTTTGCTCCCTGTTCGGGCGTGAAAACGCTAGGATTGAAAATTCTGATGCTATTTCTGTAATCCTCCTCGAATTTTGATCATTCCAGACTTTTTAATTATTCAGAGAATGACAGAGCACAACCGCCCACGGGTTCGGTCTGGATGGTTCAAGGGAAAGGGCGTACGGGGCGTGTTTTTCGCGTGTTGCGTGCGGGTGCGCGGAAGCAACCGGTTTTTAGCTGCGCAGGCCTGCTTTCGCAATTGCGCGACGCGTCTATCGCACGCGTTGCGGTCTTCTCTCCTTTCCAAAGCTACCGGACGTTTTATTAGGAGCCGGGCCGCTGTGAGAGGTTGAGAGATTGAGTGCCTTGCAAGGCATTACGACATGTAATCGCTGCGCACCCGAAATGCCGTTCGAGCACCGAATACCTTTCGGCTTTACTCAAATATTTTAGGTTTTTGCGCAACGAAATCACTTTTCTGGTCTTCTCGGCATTAACCCTTTCGTTTTTTTGGCCAGTAGGTTCAATCCCCGCAAGCACGAATTTTGACTTCAGAGTCCCTTTAATAATCAAAACGCACGTTTTTAGTAAAAAAAATTATGCTTTAATCGTGAATTTGACTTTCGAAAGGAAAAGCCGGAAAAATTTTTTTGGTGTAGAACGGGCTAGAATCGTCTCCCCAAATGTGAGGAAAATCATAAAATTACAACAACAAAATCGCCATAAAAATCGAGCGTTTCATAAAATGGTAAGCCAATTTCGCTAGAAATCATTATTAGTTTCATTCCTTCTCTTGTTTTTCTATAATAAAAACGTGATTTCAGTTCTGGAAACTCGGTGCACCGGTGTTGATCACATGCTCGTGGGTGTGGAGCTTCTCGGCTTCGTGGCCGGCCGCCGCCATCAACGGCATGTACGCACAGATAAACGGCGAAATTGCGCGGAGCCCACAGTTTTACGCGGTAGGCTCGATTTCACTAATTTCAACTCCCTATTAATAAGTTTCGAAAAAATTTATTTTTAGTATTGGGTTTGAAACACATGATTATGTAAAACGAGAAAGATAAAAAGGAGCTAAAAAATTCCACTAGATTGAGATTTTAGATTAAGGTCCCAAAGAAAATATTAAAATCCACAAGAAAATCCAAAATGATTACGGTAAAAATAAAAATGTTTCGACAAAAGGTGTTCGGCTAGGCTTTTGAAAATGATACGGTCAGCGGAAGAAAAAAATTTGAAATAAAAACAATGCTTTATCGCAATGACAAGCCGTATTTTCTGAACTGCTGCAATACGCTGATGCGCTTAATCAAGCTCAAAGTGTGTGAAAAGTTTTTTTTTGAACCCTTTAATGATAGCTTGTTTGCGTAGGAGATAGATTCCGTTTTGCAGCAATTAACGGGCGTCTACGCGTTGCTCGACGTCACCGGCAAGGTCTATATCGGGTTGGCGGCGTTGCTGAACGCGTGCACCGGCTCGAAATTGTTGTATTTGAGGTGGCGGAAAATGAAGTGGGTTTGCATACCTTTTAATTACAACACTAAAAATTAGCGTATCAACCTTCCCGAATGCTTTCTGCTAATCTGCCTACGTTGTGCACGAACATAAACTCGAAATTGCTAGCTTAGGCTTCCTTGGGAAACGCTCGCTACCAGTTCGCACCATTTTCAAAATAGAGCGACTTTTTACGGCAGATTGCCAAAAAAATTTAAAACATTTAGTGTTTGAAAAAACTGATTTTTTTTTTATCCTACGAGATGTAAAGTTTAAGAAATTTCCATCGAATCCCGATTTTAAAGAGACGCGATACAGATTTTTCATGATTTCAAACTTGAGACGTAAACACCAGCGGAGAATTTAAAGCGCCTAGGCTTTTTGATAAATTGATCAGAAAATTCTCCTAGAATTATCATTATCTGCGCAAAGCATATTGTCTAATTTTTTGGTCAATCTCGGTGATTTAAGAATGATATAAAAAAATAGTGTCTGTGTGTCTGTGTGTGCCACTTTGCATCCACTTCCGTCTGTCTGTCCGGAGGATATCTCGATAGGGGATGAAGTTACGGGTATGTTTAATAATAATAATAATATTTATTCTCAACACAAGGTTCACAAAGTCAACTCTTACAGTGTGAGGAATCAGGTGTAAATAGAGTGGTGGAGAGGATAGATAAATAAGGGGAAATTTATGATTAATTGTAAATATTATGAAGATGTGAAAGAGGGGGAATGGAATAGAAGAGTAGAATGACGAGAACACCATTACAGTAGATAGGAGATGTGGATAAGTCGGGAAAGATGATTTTTAAAGACTTTAGACGGAATATAATGGCAGTTTGGGGACAAGAATTTAAGGGAGCATCTACGCGAGAGGAGAAGAAAGCTTTTGACAGAGGTTTTTTGAGCAAGTATAGGGCTGATTTTGGTTTTGGTTTTAGGACCACGGGTTCTAGAGGGGCAGCATTAAAGAAAGTATTTTCAGACATATGAGAAGGAATCTTGTGAAAGAGAAAAAAGAAAGTCCGCGGTTCTCCTATGGTTCAATGGTTCGAGATTGGATTGAGTACATGCCGAACAATAGGAGACCTACGCGACCGGTAGCATACACGTCGAGCGAAGCCTTGCTGAATTGTTTCTAGAGCAGAAATTTGGAATTTTGCCATGAAAAATTTTTTTTTTAAATATAAAAAGAGCAGCGAACTGCTTTATTTGTCACCTCTACCACATTTGGCGAGCAGCTGAAGTCATCGCATAGCAAGACACCCAGGGCACAAAATTAGCGAATAGATGTTCTTCGAATTTCTTCTGCGATAGTGTAGTTTGCGAAATAGAAAAAGCCGATTGGTCCCCACTATTCGCCGGTTTATTTCTTCAAAGGAGGCACGGAGGAAATCTTTTAGCCTGTGGGGAGGGGAATGGGCCGATGGTGACTAAGCAAAATATAGAAATCGATTGACTGGTGAACGCTGAAAGGCTCAGCGATGGTCGGCGATTCAATGAGCCCAGGAAGAAAATCGTAATGGTTGAATAATAGAAGGGCATTTAGACTAGAGATATTAGGGTAGAGCAAGCAGGAATTAATAAGTAGCGTATGGAGCGAATGGGACGTAGAAGTAGCTGGATTAAGTTGAATTTTTGATTGGGCGAACTGTCCATGGGGATGGTTCCGTGCCCAGAGGATATTGGCGACGAGTAACTTTGCAGTTTCTCACTGTCCAGATCGTTCGCTTCTCTTGGTTGTTCTTGTCGATGGCTTCTTTCCAGGCCTGCTTGTACAAGAGCGTGTCGGAAGGTGAGTAGTTCGGGCGAGCCTGGAGTCCCGACGAGCGGTTTTTCGGGGTATTGACCGTTTTCAGGAAATTCTGTGCCTCCGTCTGATTCTCGAAGACAGCAATGACGGGACGGGGTGCGTTGGAAGTTGGGAGTCTTGTGCCCCCTAGACGAAAAACCTTTGTGGGCGTGGATTGTCCAGAGATTTGGACAACGGCATCCTTATCGGGCGTATCACCCTCAGGCATTCCTCGTATGAATACTTGACGTTCATATTCTGAAGAAGCCTGTTCGTCCCGAATGACTTGCTTGAACATGGCGGTCAAAGGGATGGTTGGGAGATTGGAAGCAACCTTCGAAGCGTAGGTAGTTTGAGGGGAAGGACGCTCTTTGAGTTCAGTGACCGTCGTTTGAAGAGTGAGGACCGTTTGGTTTAGCATAACAATTTGCTGGTTCATTGAAGCAACCAGCCCATGAAGTTCTTGAATAGTTTGGCCTTGCTCTCGGAGTTTTGTAATAAGAATCAATGCCGTCATGAATTGGTCTGAATTTTCGAAGGAATAGGGTGTAGGTGGAATTGTAGGGTCAGGGAAAGCTTCGGGCGGACTGATACTAATGAATCCATGTATGGCCTTGTCAGGACTTTCAGGTCCTTGAGTAGGCGCACTAGGCGAATTAGTGGCAGCTCTTTTCAAAGGAGGCGGTTGGGCAGTAGGGGATTGTGATTTTGGGGACCACAGGCCCAGCATACTGTAATATCGGGAGGAAGGGAGGGGAGCGACCGGACAGGGCGAGCACAGGGGGAAAAGTGAGATATATTGATACGTCATTAGGTGCGTAATGGCCTGGAGATGACTGCACGCATATCAGATTTAACAAAATCACCTATTTTCGATATTAAATTTAAGTTTTTGTGAAAACCTCTTTGTTAGGAACAATTAGCGTAGACCGGAAGTGGGGATTCGATTGTATAAAGGGGCTGAACAGGTAGTTTTTCATTTTTTGTCATCTGAATTCAGGACAATTATGCAAAGTGAAGGATAAAACGGGGTCAGACGGGGCCAGGGTTGAAAAGTCGCGAAGCGGCTTTTCAACCCTGGTTTAAGAATGAAACATTTTGCTTTCTTCTCCATTCTAAAAAGCTGATACAACAGCTTCAAAAGCTTTATTAATAACATGAGCGGTCAGTCTTTTTAGAGTATCCGGCTCGCAAGAAATCGGGCTGTTCGTGATGGCGTTTGCTACATTTATCTGCCAGATAATGTGCCAATTTGTTGTGGTAAGTAATCCTTGCAAATTCATTCTTTCCTTTTAAAAATCGACAAGATTCGTGAGTTTTAGAAATTTTGAAGCATTTTTCGAACAGTACTATTTCAGACCCAAATCAAAGGAATCGACCCCCGGTACAGCAACATTGTGGTGGGTGTTTTACAAAATAACATCGGAAGAGACATTGTTCCAAATCTCGATTCGGCCACTCTGCAGTTTTTTCCAAACATTGTTTTTTCGTCCAGAGGCTTTGCTGCATTTAGATTATTTAATTAAATTTATGATGCAAAAATGGATTAGTGTTATAATGAGAGTTTTAATTGAGAACAAAACAGGAAGTGTTATAATGAGAAAAAATCGGAGTGCCGGAACACCTGGTATGTTTCAAAAATTTTCCAAATGCTATGTCTGCTTTAGGAATTCAATTGGGTTAATTTTGTCCGATTTTGTCAATTTTGCTTACACTATTTTGTTACATTAATTTTTATAAATACATATGGTGAACGGTAAGCCCAAAAATAAAACAAAAGTTAAATAATAAATTAAATCATGTTAATGAAAAAATTAGTTACTCCAATTTGGAGTTTGGCTAAAAGTAGCAAAATGATTGGCCTATTTCGACCCTTGTCCAAGACAGGCTACTAGGCTATAATTTCTCCCCTAAAAAATTACTCCTCGTGCTCGTACCCCTTTAAGATATTATCAAGTAACTTTCAGGCAGGTACTTTGAAACAATTTTAGCTTAAAGCCGTTTTTAATTTATTTAGAACGGGACACATGTTATGCCACCAATTGACAGTTAATACATTTATGAAATCCTAAACTTTAATGAAAGATATATTTTTTTCTTACGTCTGGATAGTTTTCACAATTTTTACAACTTTAGTCGTCGGTCAACGCGGACCTGTTCGCCCTTTCGGAGGTGTACATCGGTCTGATCTTCAACCGGCCACTTCGGACGCAACTTCGCGAGGTGGGCATCGACGCGTTTACGGTGCGGTTAAAGGGATCGTGACGGCAAGGAGGAGTCAAAAATAGATAAAATAAACATTTAAATTAGAAGAAAATGTTATAAAATTTATAAAATATTATTTATATAGAATTTCGAATTCATAATGCCGAATTGATAATATCGCAATTTCACAAAGTCAAATTTCGTGAAAACGAATTTCGGCATTTTTTAAGCGCAACTGACATAAATAGAGCTTTTTCACAAGTCTCTATGAGCGTATTATGCAAATTAGCATGAAAAGTTTTAACTTTAAAAGGCTCTAAAATACACCCGATGAAACCCACTCCTTGCTGCCGGCACCATCCCTTTTAATCCCGCCTCTAGATGACGCATTAATAGGCTGTGTGCGGGAAGAAGCCCCAATCGAATGTGGCCACGATATCGATACGCGTCCACAGCATATACCCGTAATTCGATAGGAATCGCCGATAAATAGTTTTATATAAAAAAAATATATGTTCCGGCTATAATATGCAACGAAAAAATTAAAAGTATCGTATTTAAGAACAATCGAAACGATAAAATACCTAATATTTCATTAAAAATAGGAAGTGCCACTTAAAATTTAATACAAAAGGCAACCAATTCTCAAAAATGCATTATTCATTTTTGATAGCTGAAACGGTGAAAGACGATTTTAATTCCCAAAACATGTTTCGAAAACGATTAAAAATCGGGCGTGACAAACGATACTCAATCAAATCACAATATCCATCAACTAAAAAAATTAGAGTCGATAATTTTGCGTGCGCATCGCCCCGAAGCCGCAGAAATCTGGACGATTTTTATTAACGCGAAAATATTTCTGGAAAATAATTAAAAATGAACAAAAAGAAGAAAAGAAGAATAAATAAAAAGATGAATCAAAGGAATAAAATTCATTAAAAATCGATAAAATTCCATACAAATCATCTAGGCAGACCAAGCACATTTTTCCTTAAGCAAAAATATGGTTCCAAAATTATTAAAAAATGCACATGACGAACAATAACCAATAAAACCGCAAAATTCAATCAAAATAATTAAAAACCGATAAATTTTGCATAGGAATCACCCCGGAATCGGTCCAAAGCGGAAAATCCGCGGATGGCCGGTGAGATGGCCGCCCGGATGGAGATGACCAGGGGCGAACGGCTCGTTCGACTCGGCCACGGCCGCCGATTCCCCGGATTCTGAGCCTGCCACCGGACCATGGTGATGACCTGGAAATATCTGTTTATAAAAGTGTTCACTAGATTAGTAAATTACTGTAGAATAATTCTCTATCAACTTCTTTCTTGAAACTTTTTTTTTTCGGCCACAGCCCATTTTCCCATTAATTGTAATTCCCAAAAATTTTTGGTGTATCAATTTTTTTGAAACACGAATTTTTTAGAAGCGCTTTTGTCTTCTTTCTGCTGTTTTCAAGGCACCGGCAAGTCATGGCTAAGAATTTTCTAAGCTAAAATGCCGGATTTCGTGAAAACCAGTAGAACCAAAAGGGCAAGTTTGTAAATTAAAGGCAAGGGCAAGCACTTTTTGAAAATTCAAGCATGCTGTGAGTTGGGAATTGTGAATGTTGTGCAATTTGTAAAATTAAGCTTCCACTCTTTCCTGATCAAACAATTTTTTTGAAGCATCTTATTTTTCAAATTTCGTCTTGATCAACAAAAGTATCCACCGGAGCTTCTTTTCATTTTGTCGAATTTAGCGGCATTTTTTGTCTCGATTTTCGCGAATTGAAATTTCAATGCATTAAAAGTCCGATAAAATGATATTTCTACGAAATGAAATTTCGACAAAATTAAATTTAACAACATTAAATTTCGTAAACTGATAGCAAAGCACCGGCACTAGCTCGGACGAAGGGCATAAGCGGTATTAAATACATCCTGTATGTAACAGAAAAAAAACCAAATCGAATGCTAGTGATAATCATGTACGCGTTGATCATTGCAAAGTCATGTTAATCCACACAGTCCAAGGTTTTTTAAAACATTATTTTTTTTCAGATCATCACAAATTAGTTTCCGGTCCCGTTTCGGCTAAATGCCTTGCCTGTCCCTTTAAACTTACTGTATACCCCCCCAGGGGCGTAGCCAGAAAAAAATTTCGGGGGGGGCCCCCAAAAAATTTTCCAAACAACTCAAAACATTAACGAGAAAACAGCGCCGCAGGCAAAATTTTTGGAAAAAAACGTCAAATAGCTCTACAAATCGAAGTAAAAACGTGAAAAAATAGCGCCGCAGGCAGCAAAATTTTTGAGAAAAAAAATCATAAGGGTCCCCCCTTATGAAATTTTCGGGCCCCGGCCGATTTCGGGGGGGGCCCCGGGCCCCCGGGGCCGGTATTACGCTACGTCCCTGTACCCCCCGTCCACTTACCCTCGTGCGTCTCGAGTCCTCCGACGGAAATGTTGTCCTCTTCTTCCTCTTCACTGTGCTTGCCGGACAGAATGTGAGGCGATAAAATCTTAACGCCAAGTCGTTAAATTCATACTTTCTACCACTAATGAAGTCCTATTAAAATGTAATCAGCGATTCAATCACTTTCAATTTTTGAAACATTGAATTTTACAAAAAGGGCCAAAATGGCCAAAGTCACTGGGGATAAAATGGCGGTTATATTGATTTCAAACATTTTTTCCACCGATTAGCCGGATAATACTTGCTTTAAAACATGGTAGTATTCAATTTTTTAGCATAAAAAGGGGTTCTAACGTTTTTTACTATTCCAAAGCTATGTAAAATTTTACGAAAAACCCGAAAAAAAGCCATTTTCCACCGTAATTTCGAAATTTTCTATTTTTGTCCAGCCTTACCATTTGAAATACGGTCGAATGTTGCCCCAATTCGATTTGCCACAAATTCAAATCTGTTACTACATTACGATGCATTTTTGGGCATATTAGAAAAATCATGCCGCCCCGATAATGCCAAAAAGCAAGAACCATTGACTGCAGGGCAAGATCGATTTAGGCCAATAAAAATTATAATGAATTAAGTTTTTACGAGCTTAAGGAAGATCGTTATACGTTATATACGTTTTTTAGCGCTATAGTTTGAATTAATTTAAGACACTCCAAATCTCTCACCTCGACCATAAATCGCTCATCGCTGTGCAGCACCCTAGGGGAGAGAATATTCGGCGAGAGAACTTTGACGCCTGACGATTCACCGCTCCTTTAAAAGAACAATTTTTAAAACAGGGTGCTTCTACTCAGCATTCAGCGTTATTTTTTAAAAGTTAAGACAATTTATTCCGAAACACTTTTTTCTTTAATTTTTCCAGGTCTGATCGACCTTTGCTGCTTTTTTAATTCATTCAAATTTCAAATTCTAAAATTAGATTAGCAAAAATTCAAAACAATTTTTTTAATTCATGCTCAAGTTAAAATCAAATCAGGTATTTAAAGACATACGCAACTTTGGGCGACAAAAAGTCGGGGCTGAGCACGTCGATGATCAACGCCTCAGGGCTGAGGACGCGCGGCTCGAAGAATTTCGGCACCAATATCTATAAAAAGAACGAATTTAAGAGCGTATCTAAATAGCTAAATTATACTACTTAATGCAATAATATGGCAATAAACTCAATGTTTTAAAGACGCTGGATCTGAATTTTTCACAAAAATGCTTGAAAATAAATGTTTCATAAAAATCGTCTGAGACCGGCAACTCTATACCGTCAATGAGTTGTGGTGTTCAGTTGCTCTTTCAATTGCTATAAAGAAATATGCAAATTGTTTGTAAGGTATTTGGGGGCATTGATATAATAGAGAGAATTTTTTGCGTTTTATCGAAACATTTAATTATTAAAATAGCGCATTTATTAAAACAATTATTTTCTAGTGTTTTTATTAGGTTCAAATTAACTATTAGTTAATTATTATTAGTTAACTAAGCAACTTTAAAGCAACAGCAATATTTTATTATTAGTTAACTAAGCAACTTTAAAATTTCGTTCGAAAACGTTCATTCAAAAATGGACGTTTTCGAACTTTAAAATTGTTTTTTTTTAAACAAAGTCTTTAAACAGCGCTTCTTAATTCTTCTATATAATTATTTTTAGATTTAGTTTTAGTTACATTGCTTTTCATTTATTTTTTACGTTTAATCTGAGTTACGAATATTTATAGTGTTTTTATTTATGATTTTTTTCATTACTGGATAGCCCGAAAAAGCCATCTGAAAGGTATGCACGTAACAAATCTATAAACGCATTTTTTTGAACTTTCGAATGGATTTTTAGCAATATCTTTCAATTCGCTTTAGAATGATTCAGCAAATTACTACGCTCTGGGGGCATATTACTGGCACCTTTACCTATCATTTTTATTTGCCAGTTTTCTATCTAGTTTTGGTACGTACCTGTACAATGAACGCTTCCGGTGACAACACCCACGTGTTGAAAGCGCGCGGAGCCAAGACCTAAAAAAATTATTAAATTCGTATCGTACATGTTGGTAATTAAAATTTGGTACTGGACTGTTAGCGGGGGGTGAGCTAATCTTATTTTTCGCTTATTGTATATCCCTATCGACTATCATGCTGTTAATAATATTTATTGTACTTTATGGTGCTTTTAGTGGTATTTACTGCTGGGAAGTTATAAAAAATATTTTTAAATAGCTTCGAATTTTAAAGTTTGGTCATTTTATCAATTTGAATTTTTCGGAAAATGTCATAATTTTATTTATGGGCTCTTTATAGCTAAAAAACTTTGTAAATTGCCAAAGAATGGTTTATATTTCGTTATTTCCAGAATCCATATCTAATCATTCGTGGCTGAAACACCGATTCTCAGCCGAAATCGGCGATCGGGGTGGCCAACTTTCGGCTTTGGTACCCGATTTTTCTAATATAATATGAGCAAATGTTTTGAAATTGCGTTTTACGGTTCCTAAGCGTAAAAACCATACAAATTTTGATTAAAAATCGATGTTTCGATCAAAAACGAGTAGCTTTCAAACAAATCGTAAGTTTGTAGGTTTTTTAGATTATTTTGCCACTCGAAATATCTACAACATTTTAAAAAAGCAGTATTAATATAAACTTATTACTGGGAATAGGAAAAGGAATGGGGAACGGGAAAAAGCTTACTATTAATATGTTAATGGGAATTTCTGGACGTATAGGAAAAATCCGCCAATTTCAATTGTAAGAATTGTTTAGAAAGAAAAACAGCTAAAAAGCTACGAAGAAAAAGCATTCCACGCTGTTTCGTTGTGGGCTTACCAAATTTGGAAAATTTCCATAATCGAAATTATGTTTCAGTTAGCCCCCTTCATAGCAACGGTTTGTTGGCATTAATCCTGCGGCGACACACATCAGCCAAAAAAACAATATGAGGATAAAAATTGGAAGGATAGCAAAATTACATGTTCATGCAAAAGTTATACGTGCGGTTTAAATAGATATACTAGCAATCGTTCCACATGATTTCGCGCCTTTTCTCTTTTACACCGAAAAATTATTGAATTTCTGGTCGTATTTTAGGGTTCTTTTACCTTGAGCGGCCCTTGAAAATCACCTACCTCTGCGCGGAGCGCGGTTGGGCTTAGGGTACGCGCGATGAAAGCGCCCGGCGACAATATCGTCGCCCAAAATGCTTTTGGCGAGAGCACATCCAGCTGAAAATTAAGGGCATTACGTCATCCCAGGATATTAAATATACGAAACCAAAACAAGGTTTGGAAAATTTTTGCAACATATTATACTTATGGAAAAGCCAACAAAATTCAGATTATTAATGACTGAATAAATATCATCAAATTCATACATTTCCAACTAAATCGCGACGGTTTTGCTACCAGCATATTCAGGGACGTAGGGTAATACAGGCCCCGGGGGCCCGGGGCCCCCCCCCCGAAATCGGCCGGGGCCCGAAAATTTCATAAGGGGGGACCCTTATGATTTTTATTTTCTCAAAAATTTTGCTGCCTGCGGCGTTATTTTTTCACGTTTTTACGGCTATTTGTAGAACTATGCAACCTTTTTTTCAAAAATTTTTGCCTGCGGCGCTGTTTTTTCGGCAATGTTTTGAGATTTTTGGAAAAATTTTTTGGGGGCCCCCCCCCCCCGAAATTTTTTTCTGGCTACGTCCCTGAGCATATTTCAGCGGAGAAAATGCTAAAATGATTCGTTCGGCACCCTTTTTCGAAAAATTTTTTACAGATTTTTTATTACATTTAAGCTAGAAAGGCAACCGCATTTGACTAATTTTGTAATTAACATGAGGAAGTGCTTGATAAATCAAAGTTTGGTGGTGCTGAAAAAAGCAAACTTAAATAAACTAATATATTTCCAAATAATTCCCAACCAGTTTGTAACATATAATTTTAGGCTCAAACAAAACAAATTTTAGAAAAGCTATGAAAATACCTTGCAACCGTTAATAAAAAGGGTAATTTATCAAAGACTTCACTCTGGATTCAATAGCGTCTCTGATTTCGGACTCCTTTTTATCAAGTTTGAAACATATAAACTTCCTTGAAGCTTGATTATTTCTTGGCAAATATAAAAAACATGAGGGTTGAGCACACTATTTAGATTTACAAAAATTGGACTACCGTTGACGGTGAAACTACCATTCTAAAGCAGTTTGTCCGTTTGTTCCATAGGTCTGTGATTAATGCGCGGCCTTTATGTTGGCTGGCACTTTAACAAAACCAGCAAAAATGAAATAGTCTGTGTCCTAGCTTTAATAATGTAGAATTTTTGAAAGCGTAAGAACGTACCACCATGAAATCCGGGTCCATCAGCTCGAAAATGAATGCTTCAGGGGAGAGCACGGCCACCTCCCAGGTGAATCCTATATTATCGTTTGGATTCACCAATTAAAATTTTTTAAGGCGGGGAGGGCGAGAGTGACGAGAGATTGAGATGGAAAGAGAGGGAGAGAGAGAGATAGAAAGATAGAGAGTGCGGAGAGAGAAACACTCACCTTCCCCAACAAACGACCGGAAGGCGGTCGGGTTGAGAATTTCGAATTCTACCAGACCTTCTTCTTTCCCGCCCTCCCCTTCTGGAATTGTCTCATTCCCGCCACCGCCGCTTTCTTCTATTTGTAACTGGAAATAATTCAATAATATTGGAAGGGCTTTATAATTTCTTTCAATATTGACAAAAATTCCGACTATAATATGTTGAAGTCTCTGGAACTTTCAAAAATATATTTATAAAATTTTTACCTGCGTGGAATTGTTCCCTGCTATACTACCAGCATTATGGTCGTCATCGCTGGCCGGGAAATCCTCTTGGAATTTTACCTAATAATTTTATATTTAATTAACAAATATTTTACTTACCGTCATATTTCCTCCATTCAATAAATCCACCACCGGGTCCACACGAGCCGCCCGTTTTGGCCGAAGCTTAGGCTCTTGGGTGGTACCTTAAATTGTTGTAGGTGTGGCTGTGCGTGAGTTCTTGAGTGCTGGCTCGAACCAAGGGGATACCTTGCGTGAGAGCCGTGTGACACCTGAATTGATATGACGAAAGAAGAGAGGACAAAAGTAGTTTATTTATAATAACGGCAATAGCCTAAAACACAAGCCGCGAGACAAGACGGGCGGAGTGGGAGGAATGAAAAAAACACGCACAAAAATGGGGTTGTGCCGGGGGACGGGGAGGGCGCACACAGGGCGTAGTGCAAAGGGGTGCGCCGTACAGGCATCGCGTAATTGAATCAAAAGACTTTCTTCTCTTGCTTCCGCAACATCTTCCTCCTTGAATGAAGAGCTTGACTCGGTGATGAAGTTGAGCTTGATGGAGACGACGTTGACGGCACTTCAATCTTGATATCGCGACGGCGGCTTCCGGATGCGCTTGTGGTGAAGGATCGGTCCAAGAGCATCAGTCTTCTTTGTCTTCTTCACAGGTTGTGCTTGATCTTGTTGACGAACTTCAGGTTCGTCGTCGCGTCCTGGCGGTTGTGGAACAACGTCATCGAGTTGTTCAATGTGTTGAGCAACGATTTCGGGCAGTTCAACTTGAGGTCGTCGCGGCACGGCTGGTGATCTTGCCGGTGATGGTGGATGCGACTTTGTTGGCGACTTGGTTGGTGTTGTCGGCCGGTGAGCGGTGGGATGGGGAACATTCGGAACAGGTGCAAGTGGAATCAATGTAGGAGTTGTGGCGGATGATGCGGCTGACTTCTCGAGAGGCTTGTCAAGAGGTGGAGCAGTGTCCTGCACATTGACTTTATCATCGCTGGCAAGATCGAACTCTTCCAGGATATCATCGAGTACGTCTCGAACGAATCGAGCACGAAGCTGGTTGGCATGTCGACGCCAAACGACTCCAGAGGTAGTTTCAACCTCGTACATGGACTTTCCACATAATTTAGAAATACGTCCTTCTACCCAGACAGGTTTGCTAGGTATTTTATAATCTCGAACCCAGACAGTCTGGTCGATTTCGTAGGAACGCTTCTTTGCGCCGTGCTTCCGGTTGTACTGTTCAACCATCTTCATCTTCTCCCCCTTCGGAAAGATGAGATTCGCACAAGTATTGCTGTTGCTCTGAGGCAGACGCAAGCGAGCAATGGGAGTAACGAGCTTTCTCCCGATAAACCTTTCAGCCGGAGATAGCTGTTCTGGTGAAGATGGGCAAGGGGTGGACCGATAAGTTCGCAGAAAAATTTGCAAAGTTTCAGCGTTAGTCGAACCAGCGGCTTTGCTCAAAGCGCGCTTGAAGGTATCGACGAAACGTTCGGCCAATCCGTTCGTCTGGGGATGGAACGGCGGCGTGCGAATATGGGTAATTCCACGTTCCTTACAGAAATCTTCAAACTCCTTTGAAGTGAATTGAGTTCCGTTATCCGAAACGAGCGTTTCCGGATCTCCGAACCTCGAGAAAACATCTCTCAACTGGGCAATCGTCACTCGGCTTGTTGCCACCTTACACTCAAAGATTTCAGGCCATCTTGAGTAAGCGTCGACAACGATCAAATACATTTTTGATCAATCGGACCGGCATAATCAATATGCACGCGCTCCATTGGACGATTTGGGGTAGGCCAGGGAGTCAATTCACTTTTTACAGGCATCTTCTGGGCTTTCTGACAGCCTTCGCATTCTTTCACTATGCGATCGATGTCTGAATCCATGCCAATCCAGTACACATATTGCTTTGCGAGCAATTTCATTCTCGTTTGGCCCGGGTGGCCTTCATGAAGCATTTTCAGGATTCGCGATTGCAGCCTTTTCGGCACAACAACTCGCTCTTTCAGAAACAAACAGCCTCGGTGAATTGACAAGTTATTTACAAGACTTTTGTAGGCGTACAACGACGAGCCTGGCAAACAGTCTGGAAAAGAACCACTTTTCAGAGAGTCAATCACACTGCTGAGTGAATAATCCTGTTCAGTTTGCTCAGCAATTTCCTTGTGTGACACTGGGATTTGGCTCAATTTATCCTCAAAAACGGCCGAAATGTCGATTTCTATCTGCGAAATCACGACATCTTCTTCAGGATCCGATTTTGGCGGAATCAGACGGGAAAGGGCATCCGCTTGACCAAACTTGGTCGTGTTACGATATTCAATAGAAAAATCGTAGTTGTTCAATTGCAAACACCACCTTTGCAGACGGTTTGCGGTGTGTTGTGGGATTCCTTTTTTCGACCCGTATATCGGTAAAAGGGGCTTATGATCCGTCAGTAACACAAAACGCCTTCCGTAGATGTATCTGTGGAAGCGCCGAATTGCGAATACGAGGGCTAAGCCTTCCTTTTCAATCTGGCTATAGTTCTTTTCTGCCACAGTCAATGCTCTGCTAGCATGCGCGATTGCTTTCTCAGTTCCATCAGCGAATCGGTGGGTAATGACTGCCCCAAGGCCTTGCTCACTGGCATCAGCGGCGACGACGATCGGCAACTTGGCGTCATAGTGACAGAGTAACAAATCGGAAATTACAATTTCCTTGAGCGACTGGAACGCTCGTTCGCAGTCCTCACGCCAGAGAAACTTTGCGTCTTTTCTCTTCAACTCGTCAAGCGGGGCGCGCAACTGTCGCATACGAGGAATAAAAGACTGGTAGAACGAAACCATGCCCAAAAAGCTTTCTACTTCTTTGAGGCAGGTAGGTCGTGGCATATTTGCTATCGCAGCCGTGCGTTCGCCATCGGGTCTTCGGCCTTGGGCATCGAGAATGAAGCCAAGATACTTTACCGAAGCCTGGCCGAACGTGCACTTTTCCATTTTGACGCGCAATCCGAACTTTTCGATTCGCTCAAACAACTGACGTACCCTGTCGTCATGCTCCTCCTGGTTCCGGCCGGTGATCAACAGATCATCCAGGTAGGCAGCGGTACCGTCCAGGCCTGCGATCAAATTATCCACAATTTTCTGGAAAATACCGGGGGCTGTTTTCACACCAAAAATCAGTCGTTGATACTGATAAAGTCCCTTGTGTGTGTTGATGGTCAGGTATTCTTGGCTAGACGCCTCTACCTCGACTTGTAAGTAAGCATCCTTCAAGTCAATCTGGGAAAAAACTTGTCCACCGTTGAGCTTGGTGAAAATTTCTTCCGCTGTGGGAAGAGGATGATGGTAATCTTGCAACGCATCATTCAAGCCGGTAGAAAAATCACCGCAAAGTCGCAATGAACCGTCCTTCTTCTTGACTGGAACGACCGGAGCCGCCCATTCGCTGTAAGTGACTGGTTTCAACACAGTCAAAGCAACAAGACGTTCAATTTCCTTTTCAATGGCTGATTCCATCGAGAATGCGACACATCGGAATGGCAGAAAAATTGGCTGTGCATCGGCTTTGAGCTGTAACTCAGCCTTAGCAACAGTGCATAAGCCTAAACCATCCGTAAATACACTTGGGTATTTTTCAACAAGTTCCTTTTCCAGCTTTGATTGCTTCACTTGAACCTTATTGACACACAATTCATCGAAACAGGATGCGAATTGTGGCAGCTGATTGATCCAATCAAGCCCCATCAACCGAATGTCTTTGGTGACAAAACAACGGCCATGTCCCTCAATGCCTTTCACTTGAAAGCGGGTTTCAAACAATCCTTTCACGTCAATTCGACTACCGTTGGCAGCTCGTAGTTGAATATCCGACGGCGTAAGTGGTGGGCAATTCAACTGATGCCACACAGCCTCGTCAATAATAGTTACTGCGGCGCCAGTATCCAATTGTAGCGTAAAATGGACGTTTCCGATTGAAATTTCAACATCCTTGCGCGTTGAATCAATAGCATTGATTTGCACAACCTGGTTCACCTTCGGTTTCCAGTCCTTGTTTCGGTTTTGTTTTCCTTGCTTGGAAAAACTACCTCCACGGTTTCCAGAATCTGAGCGACACTCTTTTGCCCAGTGTCCTCGCTTTCCACAATGATGACACACATCATTTCGCTTGTCTCCACGGGGCCGATCATTGGTATCACAAGGCTTTGAGCCACCATTGCTAGAGGTAGGCTTTGGGCCCTTGTTCCAAGTCTTTCGGTATCCCGACTGCTGGATACGATTCACATTGGCATGCTGTTCGACCACAACATCCATGTTCAGGCTCGTCTGCAAGTCACACTCGCGTAGCAGATCATCCAGTTTCACGTCATTCTTTGACTCAAGAATACGGATCAATTTCTTGCGGATATCGCGATGTGCCTGGTCAGACAGTCCAGCAACGAAAAGTAAACACTTTTCTTCATCTTCCTTCATTTCCTTGACACGACCTTGCTCGTATAATTTGTTGACGCGAGCGGCGTAGGATCGCATATCCTCATCGTGCTCTTTCGCTACGCGAAAGGCGAGGAATCTTCGACTGAAAAGCGACAGCTTTTCTCCAAACATCTCAGTCAAATGCTTGACGATGTCGTCGTATGCGATCGAGGCCAGCTCTTTGGGTCGAGCATGATCCGCTAGCAAGCCATAGGATTTGGCATCCAGCATTCCGAGAACAAGATGCTTTTTGTTCTCCTCCGAGATGCGCGATTCGGTGGCGATGAGGTTTTTGAACCGCTCATGCCATTTTTCGAACGTAATCCCCTGGGACGGGTCATACTCGAATCGACTTATGCGAGTGGCTAGAGCGCCCAACTCGACTGCATTCAGAGGCCTTTGGCTTTGGCTTGAATCTTCGCTAACCGAGTCCGTGTGCGTTTGGACCTCGGCGCGGATCCGCTCGAGCTCAGCCATGAGCTTGGCTTCTCGCTCTTGCCCGGCGACCATGACAGCGGTCATCTGCTGGTTCGCGGCGGCGAGCTGCTTGAGCACGTCCTTGAGCTCGGGGTCGTCGGCCATTCTTCAATTCAGTTCGAATCCTTGATCGCCAATTGTTGTAGGTGTGGCTGTGCGTGAGTTCTTGAGTGCTGGCTCGAACCAAGGGGATACCTTGCGTGAGAGCCGTGTGACACCTGAATTGATATGACGAAAGAAGAGAGGACAAAAGTAGTTTATTTATAATAACGGCAATAGCCTAAAACACAAGCCGCGAGACAAGACGGGCGGAGTGGGAGGAATGAAAAAAACACGCACAAAAATGGGGTTGTGCCGGGGGACGGGGAGGGCGCACACAGGGCGTAGTGCAAAGGGGTGCGCCGTACAGGCATCGCGTAATTGAATCAAAAGACTTTCTTCTCTTGCTTTCTTAGACATTTTTGTCAAAGAAGAGAGACAGAGCGAGAGATAGAGAGAGAGAGAGAGAGAGAGAGAGAGAGAGAGCGAGAGACAGCGAGAGAGAGAGAGAGAGAGAGAGAGAGAGAGAGAGAGAGAGAGAGAGAGAGACGGAGATAAAGAAAACTCTCAAATCTTACCCATTTTTGCCAACTTCCGAATGTCTTCCTCCAAGAGGCGCTCCTTCTCGTCGGCCGTCATTTTGTTGAACTTTTGAGGTCCAATGTGGAAGCAGCCGGGCCGATTACTAAACGTACGCCGTATAAAAGCTTAGCGGAAACGTGTTTGACTCTACTAGTAGGGTAAGTATTTTTCTAAGCTGTAATTTTCTTAAAACACATTTTTCCAGGTTTCAAAAAAGGCCCACAATTGGACGGTGATGAAAATATCCTCTCCAGCTGCGGCTTCTCATAAAACATGTAGCCTTTGTCCCTGAAATAAATAAGTTTTTTTTTTGGTATTTTTAACACTGCGATAAGTTGAGATAATATTTTCGATTTTCCCGTCGTGGCATTGCGAAAGTTTGAAACAATTTTTCTTGTCGACTTTTTCGATATGTGCCGTTCTAAAGATCACTTTTATTACCGCTACCAGATGGTTACAGTCGCTTCGCGACTGCAACCATCTGGCCTTCGGGCTACCCTACATGTCCCACTCCACCACATCCTTTCCCACCTCCATCAATACCCCCCATAGCCGAAATCCCGTTCAAAAACTACCTAAATACCTTCCCGATGGCTTCAGATACCCCCCCCCATGGCTGAAATCCCCTTCAAAAACTACCTAAATACCTCCCTGATGGCTTTGGATAGCCCCCATGGCTGAAATCCCGTTCAAAAGCTACCTAAATACCTTCCCGATGGTTTAAGATACCTCCCCTAGCCGAAATCCCCTTAAAAAACAAAAACCGTCCGGATGGAATGAGAGAAAAAAAGAAATGAAATCCCCGTGAAAATTTTCATCCACGAAACGCGCGCCACCTGGCTCACTATGTCCAAAATCACCCCAACCTCCGTCCCCCCACCCCTTTTACTAAGGAAAAAACTAAAGTTAGTTTTAATAATTTAAACTAAAAGTTTTTCATAATTTTTTTATCAGTTTGGGGGTTTCTGACCACGCTCTACCCGAATCCGAAGAGAGCTAAGCCCTAGCTCCTTTCCCCTTCGAGTTGAATTCGGCTTCAGACTCACGGACGGACGGACGGACGTCTCTACTTTTTTATTATAGTTGATGATTTTGAAAGAAAATGTATTGTTTTAAATAGCTACTGTAAAATAGAAAGCATGTTTTAGGATATTTTGATAAAAGATAAACGACTACTACTAAGAAGGACAAAATATTTTGGATTTTCCCCATCGTTAGCATGTCAATTTCGGAAAAGTTTTCTTTTTTGTTTTGACTTTTCAGCTATGTAGTGTTGCAAAACTCGCTCGTAATACAAAAATATAGTTTTGGATACCCTTAACGTTCGTTAAAATGAATTATACTTGGCTAACTAATTTTATTAGCAATTTTGTTTATGCATCTCATTTTGAAAATTTCTAGGTCGGTTTTTCTTTGGTAAGATTTATCAAATATGTTTCTTTATAGCATTTGTAGAAAAGTATTGGTTAAACCGACCTCATCTGCTGCTTCTGGTCCCAATTCAGCGTTTTCAGCGCCTTCAATATCGTCATATCAAAGAGGGAGAGCTCGCGAATTGAGGGATACTGCTCCGTGTCCATTGTCCTGGAAATTGAGGTTGATTTTGTAAAATTATAGCGCTTTTTTAATTAGATTAAAAAATTTTATTTAGATTTGGAACGAACGAATTTTACTGTGTATCTAATAAAAACCTTGGTGTTGCTGAACCTATTCATGTAAGCAGAAACACGTTTTTTCTGCTCCATCTCTCCAATCTCGCATTCTCTCTCTTTCCCACTCACTCTCTCCTCTCTCTCTCTCTCTCTCTCTCTCTCTCTCTCTCTCTCTCTCTCTCTCTCTCTCTTTCCCACTCTCTCCCCTTGCTCTCTCTTTCTCTTTCTCCCTCTCTCTCTCTCTCTCTCTCTCTCTCTCTCTCTCTCGCCCTCTTTCTCTCCAACTGTCTCTCGTCAGTCGTATGGTGGTCTAACTGCCGAATCATTAATTAAGGATTCAAAGCGTGGGTCAATGAACTGAAAAAAAATCGGTTCAAATCGGAAAAATCGGAAAATAGATGAATCGCGAATGTTAATTAACAAACTGAAAAAACATAATCGGAAAATTCTAGATAAAAAGCAAAAACGAAGTTTCGCGAAAATCTTACTCCATCTGCGGGCCCAGCTTGCCGACGAGCTGATCGATCGAGTTCGACGCCCCGCTGAGCTGCATCACCGTATCGAGCAGCTCGAACTGCTCCCCGCTGTCGGTTGTCAATTCCTTGAATTAATTGCATAAGGAAAACAATTATTTTAATTTTGTCTAAATTTAATTCGTCGAAGATCATTTTCTCGAAATTTAAATGTTTTTTTCGCCTCGGTTACTCAGCTCAATTAAAATTTCGCGTAGTAAAATTTCGACAAATTAAAATCCGGGCAAAGGATTTTCGATAAATTGCCATTTCGGGAATGGGATCTCAACAAAGTCAATTTCCCCCAAGGCATAGGAAATATGTTTCAAATCATGAAAAACAGAAATTAAGGGCGGTATCAGCAGTCGGAGCGTCGGAGCCAACAAAACTAATTTAAAAAGATTAAAACGTTTCATTTCATGGCACAATAGGCCGGTAATAATCCCATGATAAGGAGATTCATCCGCCAAATTTAGGGTCGAATTTGAAGATATTATTTTTTAAATGAAATATAACTTTAGGTGGATCTAAATTAATTTTAATTTCTGGTCCACCTCCTCTAATAATCTAGGCAAAATCAAAAACCAATAACATTACCGGAATTAAAATAGTTGATTTCAGTTAGGCTTAAGAACTTTCGAGCTTCAAGAAAATTATTTTTATTTTTACGAAGGCAATATTTAGGTATTTGAGGTTTTTATGTGGCATGTAAAATACATGTATTCATTCATTTTACATAAAATACAATTTTATGTAAAAAATAATAAAAAAATACAAAATATAAAAAAATTGTGGCTCTAGAAAACCTTGGAATCTAGCCAGAATATGTAATTCAACTTTCTTGCGCCCGCGCACTGGTAATTCTTGTATGCTTTTTACGTCATTGTAACTCGAAACTTTTTTTTCAATAAACCCCTCTGGCTTGAAGGCCTGTCAAGCTAGTTGTTGTTACGAAAAAGGCTTTAATCTTTCAAATCGATAAATGATTGAATTTAATTATATATTTGAGAGACATTCTAATTAGTAATTGATAATATATTTTATCTAATAAATGTTAATAGAAAATATATTTTATCGGTGTCTTTGCTGAAAAAGCTTCTTTAAAAATCTCGCTTTTAAAACGATGCTTAGGCTTCACTTAAGCTACTTTTAAGTTATCTCGTGTATGTAGAAAAGGCGATCAAAAAAAGAAAGTTAGGTTCAAAACTCACCAGAGACTATTACAGTGAAAAATCCTAATCCAAATCCCACTTCCCCTAAAACATCCTATCCTATAAGCGAGAAAAGTATGTCTGTTTTCTGTACAGCCGATTTTTCGGCCGCCAGGCCGAATTTTGAGCTGATTTTTGGCATGGAGGTGGAGAAACACATTTGTCAGTGACGCATTTTTTTGTTTTTCGAAATTCCTTCATTTAACGGTTTTACAAACAAAATAGTACAAAATCCTTAACATCTTGGCCGAAAAAAGGTTTGTTCAGAGGATATCTCTCGAGCCAAATGGAATTAGGCGTTAATTTTTGGAGGGCAGATTGAAAATTACATTCTCCTGTGATATAATTCTGGGTTTTGGCAGATTTTGTAATCTAAAATTTTTATGAGCATTTTTCCAAAAGGTCCCTAACAAAATGGGCCAAGCGCCGTGGTGTTCGGGGCATAACTCGAAGCCCTGATGGAATTCCGGGCTGAAATTTGGACCATTTAGGCAATCAAAAGTGGGGATCATGCGCAAGTAGTTGGTTTTTGAGAATATTGTAATTTGGTTGCATAAAATGCACCTTTGTAAAATTGCTTTTTGCCAGCTCCCGATGATCAATCGGGGATCATTGGCAAACCGGAAAGATAGAGGAGAATCTCCTGAATCTTTACCTTTTAAATTTTTAAAATTGGTTGAATTTCCGGGGCGATAGAGCCGTTTTTGTTTCGGGGAGGGCCGCCCTTTTGGAGCGCCTGGGGAGTACCCCTCTGTGTCCCCCAGCCCGTCCCGACTCGCCCCCCACCTAACCCATACCCAGGTGATAACCCCCAAGGTTTTCGATCGCTGCCGGGTGGCTGGCCGAAAGGTTAACACTGAACAGCCACCTTCCTAGAGCGCCCCAGCAATGGGTGACGAATTTTTGGCCGCTACGCTCAAGGGGGGAGTCGTCCTCCGATGGTTATACAACTTCAAACGCTCGCTCCCTTGGGACGCCAAGGGGTTCAGCTAGCCTGTTGCTGGACAAGCCAGACCCGGAAGGGATGGTTCGGCCTGACGGTCGTAATGTCGGTCCTGTTGGCACCAGTACCGATCTGCCGGACCCGGTAAGGGTGTCGGAAACAGCTGAGCCTCAGCAGGGTACGAAGAAGAGAGGGCCTGCCGATTGGACCCGAAGAGGTAGCAATACCGAGGTTCAATTGGCTGGGCGAGTAGCGGCACCCTCCAGCTGTTTTCCGGGACAACACCCCGCGGCCTATCCTCAAACACCGCGGCATCCCATGCAGATCATGAAAATGCCTTCGGTGCCGAATACCAGCAGTAACTCGACCGGTACACTCCATACGGGAAAGAAGCTGTCTGACTCGGGATTTTTCGTTCCGAACCCGTGGCAAACGCTGGGCCCTGATTCTTCGAAGCTTTGGGTGCCTCGACAGCAGATAGAACCCGCGCCTGTTCTAAAACCTGAGCCTGTACAAATACAGAGAAGGAAGGAAAAGATTAGTCGCGCGGAACGTGTACAACTGAGGTTGGAGTACGACCAAAGTTTACAGCGGGCCCCGGCCGATCCTGTACTTGCTCAAGGTCCTGTCGAAGTGCCTGAGGTTTTGTTGAACCAGACTCCGAGTTCATGCGAGCGACGGAAGCGAAAGTCTGACGCGGAAGGCGAGAGGGAACCGCGAGTCGGAGGAACCCCTGAGGAGCATGAATCCCAACTCGCGACAAGGCGTGCGAAACGCTTGCATAGCTCCCAGGGAACTCCTGATCAATCGCACCTCCCATCGCAGTCCGTCGAAGGCCTAGCCAACGTCACGCCTCTGTCTCGCCTCAATTCCCAGAGAAAGGCTAATGCGGTGCGCATGAGAGAATTACGTGGCAAAGAAACTCCTGAGGAGCGCGAAAATCGCCTCGCAAAAGTTCGTGAAGCCAAAAGGCTCAGCGACCCTCAATGGAGTGACTGCGACACGCAAGACTCAGCGTCGACTCCAAACCGCCATGCCACAATTTCTGAGGAAGCAAGGGAACGGACAAAGCGAGACTCAGCCACTGCCCGGGTGAGGATGCTGCGTGCAAATGAAAGCCCAGCTGAGCAAGCCGCACGGCAAGCCAAAGACCTCTACTCTAAAAGGTTGCAGGAGTCTCGGTTGAGCACAAGTGAACGTGAAAATCAGAATCTCGCACGGGCCGCGCGTGTAGCGGCAAGGCGCTCCAGAGAATCGCCGTTACGGCGTTCGGAGCGTCTAAGTCGAGATGCGATATCCACGGGCAGTGCACGACACCGAGAATCCTCATCCCAAAGAGGATTGCGTCTGGCGGCAAATGCGACTCGGACCGCGGCACACCGGCAGCAACAACGCCAGACGGCCGCTGCGCGCGCAGGTGCTGCCCGGAATCCGGATGCGTTTCCCCCCATCCACTACCTTGGCAAGCCGGACATACCTTGCAGTTGCTGTGGCGCATTGCATTACGCAGTCGAAACGAAATCCCCGAGCGGCAGTTTCCATTCGTGTTGTGGCCATGGCAAAATCGCTATTTCGTTGTTCGACAATTTCCCCCAGGAATTGGAAGATCTTTACAAAGGGGATACTCGAGAATCGAAAGATTTTCGGGCGAACATTCGAAATTACAATAGCGGTCTAGCTATGGCTTCAATGACGGCCCAAATGGATGCTCCGCCCGGAAGAGGTCCACGGCCTTATCGGATCCATGGAGCAGTGTACCATTTGGTCGGCCCTATGAGACCACAGCCTGGAGAGCAAGCCCAATATGCCCAGATCTATATAATGGACACCGAGCAAGCGGCCAACGAGCTAGCCGGTCGTGCCATCAATCGGCACTGCGATCAGGGCCTCTTTGCCAACCTCCATCTCCTCTTGCAAAACGTCAATATCTATGTACAATCATTGATGATGATGGCAGAGGTGTCAAAGGAGGAATCTGATCAAGCAGCTGCCGATGGGCGGGAAGCTCTCTCAGCGCAGTTGGTCTTTCGAACAGATAAGAGGGACGACCAAAGACGGTTCAATGCGCCTACATCCAATGAGATTGCCGTTGTTTACGTTGGTGACGATGAGTCGATACCCGGCGAGCGCGTGTTCTATATTCACGAGCGAGACGGCGGCCTCAAGCAGATCCACTACGTGCAGAAAGAGTGCGAACCACTCTGTTATCCTCTCTTCTTCCCTCGGGGTGGAGAGGGGTGGCACCCTAACATTCCGAAGCAA